GCGGTGTGTAGGTACTGATGAAGAGTTCCAAACTAGGCTGACGAAACAGTTGTCCAGTACTCCCTACCTGGTTTTCTAACGGTGCTCTAACTGATGTCAGCTCATGATGAAATCCTCCAACCAATCAAAAAAAATCCCTACAAAAACCAATACTTCAAAATAAACTCAATATAATGTAAACCATGTAGGACTAAATAACACGATTTTAACATGTTTGATCTAAGCCCAAAAGATAGTTTGAACACTCAACCTGCTGCACCCTACTGGTCATGGCTTCCCATCAGCCACCCTCTAACCAATGAAACAAAATCCCTATAAAAACCAATACTTGATAATTATATCAATCATTGACAGTATTTGATTGGTCGGTGGTGACTAGCAGTGGAATCCAGGATGCGCATTTCATCCAATTGGGGACTCGTCATCTGGATGTGGTTTAGTGGATAACACTTTGGCGTTTGAAACTCTGGGCACTGGGTTCGAGCCTCCGTGGTGGGAAAATCATCACTCTCTGAGAAATACGGGTACATCCAGCTGAAGGACGAGTCCCAAATAGGACAAAATGCGCGTTGTCCTGGATTCCACTGTCGGTAGTCACCATCCACCAATTAAATTCTAATTAAATGCCTAGACATCGTCGAAGCATCTACACAAGAAGCCAACATGTCCACCTGAGACCGAGCACTTCGGTCCAATCCATCAATGGACGGGAAAATCTAAAATTCGATTAAATCATTGACAGTATCAGCTGTTAGACTATTCAAATAGCTTAGTATTTCCTCTCGTAATATTAAACACAAAACAATTCAGTGAAATGTCTCTTTTAAAGGAATCTATTTTTGAGTTTCAGAGGATGTAGCGTTTCAGTAGCACATCTACAGTTCATTCTGTCCTCTACAGTCTCCTCTTAAGTTGCAGCGTCTCCACGATTCAGCATAAGCCTACATCTCCTCATCACACGATCTCCTCTATATCACTCGCGGACCCACGCCTAACTTCTCCTTGTTCTCCTTCCGATTCGCATCCATCCGATGACCAGGCGCTTGATGTCATTCAGGAAGTCTTCTCACTGTGTTTTTTAAGTCCATCTCAATTTTTTTATTGGCATATTTACTGGACAATAGACTCTTGATTTTGATAGTTAATTTGCGAAGCTTTCATCGCCCCACTAGGCGACATCTTCAGCGCATACTTCAATTCGAAGTGAGCTTTAAGATTTCTCCACGAGTTTGTTGGTCATCTCTTCCGGTTGGTGACCTTGAAGTTGGATGGCTGTTTTTGTGTGTTTTCACACCTTCTAGGATACTTATATTGTCACTGATTGTATCTTTGACTTGAACTTTGACCCTTTGTGTGTGAGATTTCCATCTTATCGGTTGATAAATTTTGTCTACCTCGATGTGTCTATTGATTGATGATTCAGTGGAATACCAGACAGACTTCTAAAAATTCTCTCTAGTTCTTGGTGTTTCCTCTGTCTACTATTTGAACATTGTCCCAGTCGAATTGATGTCCGTGGTTGTCTGTATGTAGAGATATGAACCGAAAAGTAAGAAACCTCACAGACAAATTGTCAAAGTTCAAGTCAAAGAAACAATCATTTCCAATAAAAGTAACCTTAAAGGTGTGAAAACACACAAGAACAACCAAAGAGTCACGTTCAAGGTCACCGGGAGGGATGACCAACAAACTCGTGGAGAAATCTAAAAGCTCACTTCAACAAATTGGATTATGCGTTGAAGATGTTGCCTAGTAGGGCGATGAAAGCTTCGCAAATAAACTATCCAGCCAGCGCAGAGAGCACATCCACACCAAAATCATCCACCTGGCATACACAAAATGAAATTAAATAAACTCGTATTCAAGGTTTTGTATTACTCATCACAGCCTTGTTAGTGTCATTCTGACATATGGTAAATCAAACAATAATAATAATGATTTACTTTATTCCTAAAGCAGTACTTGTAATACGGAATGGAATTTTCAGCATTAATCACAATATTGCATCTAATTTCCTCAAATTATAAATAAAATTAATCACACAGAAAATTTGACACATTTACAATAGGGGTAATGTAAAAAAAAAACATGCAGCATATAAAATGGAAATAATAATAATGATAACAGCTAAGGTTATAATAGTAATACAAGTGAAAAATGACGTGGGCTTGTTTCACACAGTATTGTCGATGCGGTATAGAAATCCTAGCATGATTAAAAATATTGAATATGATGTTCTCTTTACATGGTATGGTGAGGGAAAAAACAAAGATTACAGCAGTCATAGAGATAAGTTGGTGTTTACAATTATGAAAGTAAAAACAAAGAAGCAACAGGACCATAAATATAATAGAAATAATAAAAGTAAAACTTGAAAGTATTTAAGGATGGATGGAGGAGATTGTTTATTTACTAGATGAAAAAAGGTTAGTCAATTCTTGCCTGACACTATTTGCATCACATAAAATACGTGCCAAGTATGGTTTCATAGAATTTTTATAATTAGACGTGCGAGCATACAGTTTTCTGAAGTTACTTCTTGTTCTCTCTGAGGAGATGCAAGGTGAAAGTTGTGGGTAAAGTGGATGCTCCAAGTCAGACAGTAATGTCTTGTTTTCCCAATCCTGTCTGGCTTTGATATATTCATCTGTGCTGCCTGAAACTCAAATGATGCAGCCTCCTTCAAATTTCTTCCGTTGATGGTGATTCCATCACTTGTTATTGATCAGTTTTAACCGGCTGATAATCACTACTACTTATCTCAATCAGGCAGTACTATATGTACAATTTTACAGTCTTTCAGAATATCGATTTATTGATTTTTAGACTTTTCTTTTTCTCCAGAGATGATTACCTACATGGTTGACACTATCAAAACAATAGTCAACTATGTGTTACATCATTTTTCATAGAAATTAAGTATTTTCTAAATCTGTTTGTCTGTCTGTCTGTCTGTCTACCTACTTTTTGTTTAAATTCACTAACAAAATTTTCCAACTGTCATCTAATTTTTAATGTACGCGCGCGTTTTTTGTCTTTTAGACAGCCTTATTTGTACTGATTAAAAATTCCCATTAAAAGGTTTTTAAAAAGAATGGTTACTGAACAAAGAATACTCTTTTCAATAACGCCTTCTTAATCAGGCTCTACAGTTATATATACATTATAGAGAATGAATGAATTAGTGTTATGAACAACTTTAATGTTGTTTACATAACATCGAATCAATAATATCAGTGAATGACAGTTCAGTAGCATCAACATAAAAAAACACTGAATATCAGAAAAATTAGGAAAGATTATATTACAGATTCATGAGTTTATAGTTTCTACTGAAGGCCAGGGCAGTAGTAGGGGCTGGACTTGCTTCTTTTTCACACAGAGCACTGGTTGTTTCACGCAAATCGCTATAGCCTCTGCTGTTTGGAGCATGCGGTATCTCGATGTTTCTGGCAATTTATTTGGTATCCGGTAGATGAAGATGGAGAAGGATTTTTCACTGCTGGTTTTGTGGCCGACCGGTTTAGACCAGATGGTCTAATATCGAACTTTAGATTGAAAAGAACAAGAAGTTCAGCAAAGATGTCGATCTTTTCGGTGATTTCCTTCTCAAAAGCTGTACAGTCGCATTTATATACGTTAGTTTACATGGATACAATTCTTATTCGTTTAATTCCACACAGTAAGGAAGGTAGTAATAATTTTCAACTTGATATGAAAGTTTGTAGGTACGAATGTAGATTACAAGGGGCTTAGAGACAAGATTGCATAGGATTAGAAACGACAGTTACAACCTATGCAAAATTAATATTTGATAACTGGAGAAATAATTTTAAAGGCGAATAAAAGGTGACAATTATTTTCAACTTGATGAGAATCACAAGAGGCTTAGAGGTGAAAAATTACTCAGGGATAGAACGAATTACAGGTGTGAACAAAATGAGCATGGAAACAAATTGAAATCAAAATTTTCAACTTGGAATGTAAGTTAGGAGGTGTGAATATAGATTCCAAGAGGCATAGAAATAAAAAAATTACACAGGATTAGAATATAAGTGTAAAATAGTTATCCGAAACAGATTACAAGTATGATCAGGAGGAGCATGGAAACAAGCTTAAAATAACTGATTTTATAACTGAAAAGACAAAATGGGATGAATTGAATGAAGGTAGAGAGAAAATTACACACACAGAGAACAAAACAAAACAAACTTTACAAAGTAAACAAAAATCTACCAAAGGCAGTTAGTGTATTTCCGACTTCTTTGTACTGCGGAAGCTCTCGCCATATGCATCGAAAAGCCGGGGCTATGTGTTCAAAAGAAACTAGTCCAGCCTTTACAACTACCATGGACCTAGTTCGCTATAATCCCTTATCCCTCAGTTATTTTTGGTTTGTTCTCTTTCTGTGTGTAATTTTCTCTCTTTGTCTTCATATATTTCATCCTATTTCTTCAGTTATAAAATCAGTTATTCTAAGTTAGTTTCCATGCTCCTCCTGATCACACTTGTAATCCGTTTAGAATTAATATTTTACAATAATATTCTAATTCTGTGTTATGTTTTGTTTCTATGCAAGCAAATAATAATTGTATCCATGTAAACTAATCTATGTAAATGCGATGGTACAGCTGCTTTCGAGAATGAAGTCGCCGAAAAGACAGATATCTTTGCTGAACTTCTTGTTCTTATCAATCTAATACCGAACTGTCGATGTTTCCAACTACACCTTTACTTAGCCATACTGGGAGATATTCCCGAGCGAGTACAAAAAATCAAGTTCCTAGATCAACGGCCAGTTTAACTTACTCCACAAGCGCAGTTGAATTACTAGATACAATTAGAAGTGGCTAGCTAGTCTAGATACTTCATCTTTCAAATGAGAAATCACCGCCATCGGTCGTATCGAGAATAAGACTTGTAGTTTGCCAGCATTATTTGTTTTTGTTTTTTTCCCTTTTAATCTCTCTTCCTTTCCGTTTTCTTTTTCTTTTATTTAGTATGGTCTTTACAGAAAGTTAAATAATTTCAATATTGACTCATCTAACAGCAGTTCAAATAATAATATTTCTCAGGAGAAAAATTCTGCCAGACCCCATGAACCAACATCAACAACAACAACCCACGAACCTGTTACATCTAATGATGTCCTAGAAGGCGGAAGTAGATTTGATCCACAAGAAATATTACTCTACGCTAAATTAGAAAATCAAGATATGGCAATCGAAGACGATGAAGATGATATTGCAGAAGTTGATGATGAAGATATTGACGGTGACACTGGTGTATACTCTAATCCTAAAATTAAAGAACTTGGTAAAGAATTTACCCTGAAAGATATACTAGCACATCGTGTACCTGAATTAGAAGTTGATAATTGTAAAGATGAAGAAGATTGATAAAATTGCTTATATAGTAGATTAAACGAATTCAAATACCGCTTGACCTTGAAGTTGTGTGTTTGTTTGCATTATTGTTACATTCTAAAAAACATTCATTCACATTATTGAACATTGATGAATTATTCACTTTTTTGTTTAAATGATAAGAAAGCAAAAAAGCAGAAATCTGGAAAGAATAAGGTGGATATTTATTCCCTCTCCCATTCGTTTGTTTGTTTTTTGGTTTGTTTGAATGCAATAAAGTATCTCCATCCTAAATTGCCGCTTTTTTTGAAATTTTCCCTCCCTTTTTCCTTCCTCGTTTGCGTGTTTGTTTGTTTTAACCTTGTTTTACCTCATTCAAATTCAAGATTTTCATGAATGTTTTTGTAAAATAAACAACAACAAACAAACAAACAGAATAAGCAGGAGAAAATATCGATTCACTTGAAGGTGTTGATTTTTTTTGTCAAGATATTTTGATCAGCTTTCAAGCTGGTGATGTTTTTTCTTCTTCTTTTGGGTGCCTAATATCAGTTACTTGTAGTTAGGGGAACTTAATTCATAGATATGCATATATGCATATACATAATCAATATTTTGTATATTACATTTACTTAGAATACGTCTGAATTCTTTTATTCTATTGTTCTCACTTGATTATTCTTTAATATTCATGATGTGAGTGTAAATAAACATCCATGTGTTATTATTTGTTATCGATCTTCTCTGTATGATTTTACAGCTAAGTGAGCAGTACTCATGGGTAAATTCGCTTATGGGTGAAATTTATTTTCAAAAGAATAGACACGGAACAAAGAGTACTCTTTTCGATAAATTAATCATCAGGTTCTACAGTTATATATACATTATAATGAATGAATGAATTAGTGTGATGAACAACATTAATGTTTAAATAACATCAAATCAATAATATTGATAAATTACAGCTGAACAACATCAACATAAAATAAACTGAATGTCAGAAGAATTAGGAAAGGTAATGGTACAAATTCATGAGTTTATAGTCTCTGCTGAAGGCCAGTCAGGGCAGTAGTAGTGGCTGGCTGGACTTGCTTCTTTTGCTCACAGAGCACTGGTTGTTTGAGGCGAATTGCAATAGCCTCTGCTGTTTGGAGCAAGCGGTGCTTCGACAATTTTGGTAGTTTGTTAGGCACCCGGTATATTATACAGAAGGATTCGTCTACGCTGGCTTTGTGACCGGTTTGCACCAGATGGTCTAATTTATTTATTTATATTTTATTTTTGATTACAGCTTGATGCCACACCGTATTTTCAGTACAAGTATGGAATTTTCAGCATGGATATCGGTAGCCCAAATTTTGCAGGCCGACCATAGATATCGGGTGTGCGTCGGCAGGGGATCGAACCCCAGACCATGCGCATGGTCGGCGAGAATCCTAACCACTGAGCCATAGTCGGATAAACAATGAGCTGAGGGTGTAACCTACCAGTATGAACACTAAGTCGTTTCCGAAATTATGTGCACATAAAAATATATGTCCATCACCAGCTTCTCAACAAAGTTGCAGGTAAATAAAAGCACCGCAAGAAAATTTGAGGCTCGCAGCTGTCAATCCATTGTTCAAACAGTACTTAAAAATGTGATTTATGTGAAATTTGCTCCTTAATTGGTGATTAGCGTTCATATTAACGTTTAAAATAATGACAAGTCCCGTCATTCAACGATAAGCATGCATTCAAGGTCATTTGGGTGTTCGCACTTCTCGGCCGTGATACTTTAACTTGACCAAAATGTAAACAACATCCATGATCATTTTCCTTTATTCTGTGAATGGCACAGAAAAACTTCAAGTTTCCAAACTTCGAAGTTTCAGTAACAGTGATGATTTTGTTATCCACGAGGTGGGGTCATTAGCTACACTCCCAACCTTCTGTGTTTACTGACTAAGCAAGGATTAGCAATGTTTCTGTCAGGGATTGAATCGAGACTACATGCATGCTTGGCAACTGTTGCACCCCATAACGACGGATGCCCTTTCAATGTCAAACAGCCGACTAATATCTTTTGCTTTCAACGGTTACGTGATACAGCCTGTGAAGAGGAACACAATGAGTCTCCAGACACAGTTGGCACGTCTTCTAATCAACGGCTAGAGATATCATGTCTGTGCTAAAGATGACGCATGAGCATTAGCTAAACATTCAACTCAATAACAGACATGTGTATCTATCATCACAAGTATTTTCCCATGAATCATTGATATAAGAATAAAACTTGTGCACTGTCGTGGTAGAGTATAATTCCATTATGGGTAAAATTTATTTTGATAAAGTCACACAGTGTTGTTATACAGTAATATTTACTGATGACCACGTTTCGAGCACAATTTATTACTGCTCATAATCATATCAAGTTAAGTTACTCACACAACTTTCCAACGTCGTTTATATAAAATTCCATCACTATGTTTCATCGCTTGATTTGATTGGCAGTAGTATTTTCCATATTTCTGGTGTGAGTGATGAGTCATGCCTATTGCACGCGTGTTGGGTGTAGATTTACTCGATGAAGAAGGCCAAAAATAAAATAAAAACAATGGTGAAACTAGTAGTGATAACATAAATAAGAGAGAATATAAGGCGTCTACAGTTTTACCATGTAAGGAGGGAACATCTAAGACTCTATGTAGGATTCTGAATAAAGCAGGAGTTAGGGTGCCATTCACACCTACAAACTCACTCAGGTAGGACAAGCTCTGTATGATTAAGGACCCGGTTGAAGCAATTAAACAAAATAATATAATTTACAAAATACCTTTGAATGTCTTTGACTGAGGTCAACTACATGGGTCAAACTAGTAGGTCAGGGGTAGTGAGATTGTTGGAGCATAGAAATTTAGTGGTTATGGTAAGAATGGTTGACCCCGAGAAGATAAGTAATTTAGAAAAAAGCTCAGCAACAGCACTGCATGCATTAACACACATCCACACAGTACGCTGGGTCGGACACAGTCAAAATTCTAAAACGTAATCTAGACAGGTGGAGAGAGAGGTAGTTGATTACTGAATCCTGGTTCATTGAGTCTACACCCAACACAACACATGCAATAGAAGTGACTCCATGCAGATACCAGAGATATGGAAGATATTACAGTATTTCCCATCTGATTGTACTTGATTGATAACACTAATATTGTTCCTGAATGTACTTTATCCCATAGAGATTTTTATTCAAATGTCTAATCATCGATTTTACTCATGTATGCAATTAGGGCAAGAGAGTTGTGTGAGAAGGGCCTTGATATGATTATGTGTAGCAATAATTTGTGCTTGAAATGTGGTCATCAGTAAATATTACAGTACAACAGACACTGTGTGATTTATCAAAATAAAATCTTATCCATAATGGAGTTATGCTCTACCACCACAGTGCCCAAATTATATCCTTATATCAATCTTTATTTGTCACACAAATATTCATCTAATGCAAATTTAAGACAAAATCGACGTTAACAAGGCTTTTAAAGTCATCAACCGTATTCCTACTAACCTCGCTTTCGCCATTGGAATCCGCCTGAAGATGCCTAACTTATGTGTTCAGAAGATATTTATTCAAAATCTTTCCCTACGTTAGCCATGATTGTTTTAATAATCTTTATTTATAGATTATAGAAATACGCTGACATATGAATTATCAAAACACTTAGCTCCAATATCATGCCTCATTAGAAATCGTTCAAACTATAGACCAACTAATTCATACGAGATGAAAGAGAATGATGAAACAATGGTTAGTTTTGATATAACTAGTCTTTATTATTAATATACCAATCAATACGGCCTTAGAAGCAGTTGAAAAAGAAATAACTGCAGATCCTGAACTCACTCATAGGACAAAGTTTCCCATTGAAGAAATTATTTCAGGAATTCAGTTATGCCTCACATCTACTATCTTTAAATTCCAAGGCAAAATATATAGACAAACAGAAGGTGTAGCAATGCGATGGATCACCAATATCCCTTATTGTAGCAGATATATTTATGGACAGCTGGGAAAATATTGCTCTTAATACACTTAATCCTACTCCAAAAATATGGTGCAGATATGTGAATGACACTTTCACAGTGTTAAAAACAGAACATATCTCTAGCTTCTTGACACACATATATAAACTCACTAGTGGAGGGAAAAATATTCACATTTGAATCAGAAAATGAACCAGGAGAATTAGCTACGTTAGATTGTAAAATAAACCGAACCGGTAAACTGCACACTAGCGTTTATAAAAAGCCAACGCATTCCAATATTGGATATTTAGACTTTAATTCATCTCATCCGTTAACTGTTAAGGCAGGCTGAGTTAATTGTCTGTCTAACAAACTGAGCAATAGCACTAAGTAGTACAACAAAAAACCTAAATGATGAAATAAAACAGACAGAAGAAGCGTTGGTTTTAATATCTATCCTATAAAATTCATTATGAATATCAAAAAAGGTCAAAAGCAAAATAAAAATAATTGGGAAACTAATAATGATAACATAAATAAGAGAGAATATAAGTCATCTACTGTTATAACATATAAGGACGGGACATCTGAGACCCTGCGTGGGATTCTTTATAAAGCAGGAATTAGAGTGGCGGCATTTAAACCTACAAACCCACTCAGGTAGGACAAGCTCTGTAGGTTAAAGGACCCAGTGGACCCAATTAGACAAAATAATATAATTTACAAAATACCGTGCAGTGACTATTGAGTAAGTATAAGTAAGAAACTTGGGCACTGTGGTGGTAAAGTATAACTCCATTATGGATAAGATTTTATTTTGATAAATCACACAGTGTTGTAAATCAATATTTACTGATGACCACGTTTCAAGCACAAATTATTGCCACTCATAATCATATCAAGGTACTCAATCACACAACCTTCTTGCCTCACTTATATACATGAGTAAAACTGATGATTAGACATTTGAATAAAATCGGTAATATAAGATAATGTACATTCAGAAATAGTAATATGAGTGTTATCAATCAATTACAATTAGATGAGAAATAAGACGAGTGTTTCTTATAGTCAAAATAAGTAACTTGGTAGACTGTGATTGAAGTAAACTGCATAGGTAAGTCAAACCACTAGATCGGGAGTAGTCAGTTTTTCAGAACATATGAGTTTTCCTAAGGTTAGAATGATTGATTCCTCGAAGATAAGTAATTTAGAAAAAAAAACTCAGCAATTGTTCTCTTCTTGCATTAAAATACAACCACACAATAGGGTGGGACACATTGATATATGTGTAAAACTCAAAGTCGTGTGATCATAATTGATATGATTATGAACAATAAATTTTGTTCGAAACGTCATCCAGTAAATAATACTGTTTCACTGTGTGATATATCTAATAAACAAACTAATAATGGAAGGGTGGGACACAGTCAAAATTCTAAAAAGTAATATAGGTAGGTAGGTGGAGAGAGAGAGAGGT